ATACATACATACATACATACATACATACATACATACATACATACATACATACATACATACATACATACATACATACATACATACATACATACATACATACATACATACATACATACATACATACATACTTGTTGACCAGTAGATCTGGTGGAGGGAAAACTCCGAGAAGAACCACGACCCCACAGGAAGCCTCTAGCAAGTTTTCTAAAATAAATACACCGCGCGAGCCCGAGACTGAAATTGACGAGAACAGAAGTGAGATGTCAGTGAAATGTAAAGGATAGCACCTTAGACACTCAACCCCACGTGCTACAAAACCTAACTCAGCAAAACTCATCTCATGACAAGACATGACTGCATTTAAAACGAATGAGGATTAAAACATAAAAGTAAGGATCAGTCCAACATGTTACTTGGCAACTGATACATTTGGAACTCCTACATTCAAAATCTGCGAACAAGTCTGATTTTCCAAATACAAAACTAATATTTGCTAAGGGATACTTTCCCAATTTTATACCGATGAAATGTTGGCAACTGGACCAGTAACTTTCGGTCTCCGAATCGTTTTCATTCGTTAAAATTTAAAGTGAGAGGATGCGGCATTGCTTTATACACAATCAGAGATTTTTGTTTTTATCTGTGTGCGTTTAGTAGTTCCCGCACAATAAGATTTTGTGATGATGAAATCATCGGTTTATCAGACGGAACTGGTACTACAGTATACTGCCAAGCTATTTCCTATTTCATCTAATCCAATACACAATGCAATCTAAGGACAGAATACCAAACATTGAACGCCCAACCTTCATGCCATGTTTGTGGCATACGAATTTGTTTTCACTTACAGGAAGTAAAACTCAATAACGGAAATGCTGCAAAACTCTAAATTCCAAAATGACCACCCTGGTTATCAACTCCATCTAAAACTATCTTTGACCCTTGCGAATATAAAATGTCCCTAACATATTCTCTTCTTCAAAAAGTGCCCAACATATCTTCATCTTTCTATAGTAAATCCATTGAGATGAGAGAAAGCTGGATACATGGATGGACCTGTCACTGTATTAGCCATCTTGAGACATTCAACAGATAAAAACTCAAGAAATTACAGCCATAGTCATAGTTTGGAACTACAGCACCTCTAAAAACAAAATTTCATCATCTTTGTTTATTTCTATTTCACGCTGAAAATTTTGCTGAACAGTAAATTTAACAACTCGTAATATGACAGTATCAAGAACTGTTTATACAATCTGAAAACAAAACTGTTATGTACCAAAGACAACCTAGTGGCATTGCTATAAAGGGCAATGGGAGTGCAGAGAAAGCTACCAAAGCTGTCCAACATCCTCCAGTTTCTGAGTATCGTATAAATCATCATATTCATCACACATGTCGAAATATATTAAATTAAAAATCGACAAACAAACGTCTGAATCTTAAACACATAATTTATAGTGGCAACCCCAAGAGATGAGGTGTCATGGTAACAATCGCATATCAAATACGCATTCCTCCTCACTGATGATCTCCTGAAGAGCCCTCCCGACAAAGTGTTTTCATGTGAACTTTATGACTAAATCATATGATGGTGTATCACACAGAGATAATCTTGGACTTTTTGAGGGAATGCGGTTGTATAACAATCTGACCATATTTTTCAAGGATGTTATATATGTTTTCTTTATCTTTTTTATATAACATGTATAAAATACTCAACATCGTTATCTTTCAATTTTTATATAAAAATTTACATTTACAAGACACTTAACATGGTTATCTTAACATCGAATTATTTTTGGAAAAGTTGTCATCTTCAAGGCATTGTGCAATTCTTCGTTTTTACCTTTTTCGAATTTTACTTCTAAATCGCACCATTAAGCCAATATTGTGCTGATGGGCCATTAAACACCAGTAAGGTCATTTGTACATGATGCCTTTTATAGAGTATGCAAATTTGCTAATCTTACTCTTTGAGCCGATTCTAATCTAATTGGTGTCCTTGGGCCCATCGTGTGTCTCATTATAATAGAATTGGTGTCCTTGGGCCCTTCGTGATCTCATTCTAATGGAATTGGTGTCCTTGGGCCCATCGTGTATCTCATTCTAATCGAATTGGTCTCCTTGGGCCCTTCGTGATCTCATTCTAATGGAATTGGTGTCCTTGGGCCCATCGTGTATCTCATTCTAATCAAATTGGTCTCCTTGGGCCCTTCGTGATTTCATTCTAATGGAATTGGTGTCCTTGGGCCCATCGTGGATCTCATTCTAATCGAATTGGTGTCCTTGCTCCCATTGTATATCTCATTCGTATCGAATTGGTGTCCTTGAGCCCATCGTGTAGCTCCCTCCTAATCGAATTTAAAAACGGAATCCCAAAATTATGTGTATCCTCATACTGGGAAAGGTGTACTTGTTATTTTTTGAAGATGGTGGACAAATTCTTTCCATATAAACTGACTTTATTGATTATTTTGGCCAAAACCCATTTACACAAATTTGGACAAATTCAATTGCATCAGTTGGTATCATTGCAATATCCTAAAATATTAAAATTATATGAACTGTATTTTTCACCTGACAAGATGAAACATGAATTACAGTACACTATTGTCTTTCTGTGAGACATTTAACGTTACACTTACTTTAGAAAAAAGTCTAGGAAAAAAAGGCAGTAAGAAAACATGAATCTAGCTGTGTTTTTACGCAAGGATTATCCACTGTCCAGCATCACTTGTGTCTAGAGATACTTCACCAAAAGAACAATTTTGTCTCATAGCAAATTGCGAACACTTAAACAGTGTATATTCAGTGGTGTATGGTGATAATATACAATACACTAATCGATGCAAGCAATTTAAACATTTCTTCAACAGACATTTACACGGAAGCCTTATCTTATAACTCGATATTTTGCACCATAATGCTTTGTTGTTGTTCTTGGATTTAATGCTTTTTCTAAGCGCAAGACAGGCTATACACGTCGGCCAGTATAAATAGTGGAGGAAGAACCCTAAAAAGCCCCGGTGAGAATTACCGACCCACGGAAAGCTGCTGACAAACTTTCTCATATATAAACATTTGCCCAACCTGAGATTCGAACCCATGCGGTTAGAGGTGCGATACCAGTAATCGGTAAAGTACAAATTACTAGCATCTCACCTCTAATCGCCTGGTTCGAGTCTCGGTTCTGGCAACTTGGGCATGTGGGAAAGTGTGCAAGTAGGTTCCAATGGATTGGTGATTTGTGTAGGGTTATTTCTCTACCAAATATACAGGCCGCCATATAGAGCCTCTCGAGTGCTGAAAAATGCTGTTAAACCACACAAAGCTAAAGGAATCATCTCCATTTTATTTGAATTGTAACTGTTGTTGCGGTAGGTGTGTTGAATTTTGATATATATATATATATATATATATATATATATATATATATATATATATATATATATATATATATATATATTGTCCTCCTCACGCCATTCCACCTCATCATGTACATTCGGATGCTTCATCACTTAAAACTAGCACATATTTAATATTGCACTCGCAGCTTTTGACGACATAAATTGCACAAGTTAGTGCTGAAGGAGGAAGGTATGGTTTGCAGTCTGCAAGGTATGGAGAGATTAGTTAAATATGATGCCAGACTGTAATTATGTCAGATAATTACGCATTGACACTTGTTACGTATCGGTTCGTTCGAAGTAACACAAAGAAAGAGTGAAGACAACAAACTTTGTAAATTTTAACATAAATAATTTATTTCCCTAAAAAAACACGGTGAAAAGGTACTCTCAACTTATGACCACGACTGCTTCTTTCTTACTGGTAACTGAGCATTTAAAGCAAAATAATACGTCATTTCATGTACACATACACGAAGGACACGTGTGACTTTGAAATCACGCTTGGGTTATACAAAACATAAATATAATTTTAGATTTAATGATTGGTCACAGCCAATCATTTACATAGCTCTTCCTGGCTGTTTACTTGCAACGACAAAACCTTCATGCAAAAATCGTGATTAAACGAATCACATTTACGTTTTAAGTAAACACAATTTTTATAACAAAATATCAGACCATTGCAAACATAATAATTATCACAATTATAATGACATTGAATGATACAAAAATGAAATAAAATCAAAATCACCACATAATCTTTGTTCATTGTGATGGATATTACTCTTCGATCATGGTTTTCATGGTCTGATACTCGTTTGTGGAGTTTTAACTCCAATAGACAAATTCAAATTTTAACACACATGTAACTGAACTACGGGGTAATAACACGCCGCTGAAGTTGATGTCTAATAACGCATACAAAGTTTCCTACTTGAATATGTTAGCGCTAAGTTTGAGATTCGTCGCATCCTTGTTGTGCGATATACTTATGGACCAGTCTAGACTTATATATATATATATATATATATATATATATATATATATATATATATATATATATATATATATATATATATATATATATATATATATATATATATGTATGTGTGTGTGTGTGTGTGTAAAGACAAAAAATATTAAAACAATAAATCCTTTCAAATAAACGTAGTATGAAGAACTACTCGATAAAGATACAGACTTTAAAGTTGTGCAAAAAGGTATATAAATAAAAGATAAAGGTAAACAAAATTGTGGTTGAAGTTGCTAGGTGATTGACAAAATATCACATAATCTCTGTTCATTGTGATGGATACCACTAATCGATCATGGTTTTGATGTTCTGAAACTCTTTTGTGGAGTTTTAACTCCAAATAGATTTGCCAGCTATATGGAACATGCCAAGGTATAGAATATTTTGAAGTTTGTACATGAATGTGGAAACCGATGCATGGGAGTATTGGCTGTATTGACTATCCCACCCAGTCGCTTTATCCTGACAAAAGGCTTACCAGTCCTAACACTTACCTCTTAATGCTGAGCGCAGAGCGAGGCAGCAGCTAGTACCATTTTTATAGGTCTTTGGTATGACTTGGTCAGGGTTCGAACCTGCGACCTCCCGCACCTGAGGCGCAGGCTATAACCACTAGGCCACCGGAACAGTCCATCCACTATGGAGAAGGATTCGAACATAAGATTAAATTTCCTTTTTGAAAAGTTTGAATATATTTCTGAGATTTGAGTATTGTTTTCATTTCTGCCGTGAAAGCGGAGACAATATTTGGTAACCTCTGGTGACATATGAGGTTACACCAGCAGCTGTTACCTGTCTTCATATTTTCAACCGTCTGTACACATGGACGTACGGCCATGATATGATCCGTCTGTAAACATGGGACGTACTGTCGTGATATGAACCGTTTGTACACTCGAAAACAATGGTCATGGTATGAACATGTACATAGGGATGTATAGTCACTACATGAAAGGTTGTACAAAGGACGTATTATATAATAAGAACCAACTTGACACAGTGACGTATGACCATGATATGAACCGTCTGTACGCAGGGACGAATGACACGATAGGAACCGTTTGTACTTGGAGACGTATGACCACGATGTACACAGGTACGTTTGGGCACAATATGAACCGTCTGTGCACAGAGCCGTATGATGCGATATGAACCGTCTGTACACGGGTATGTAAGACCACGATATGAACCGTTTGTGTATGGTACGATAGGTTGTGATGTTGTTAGGTTGTGTATTACGATAGGTATGGCTCCGATTTGAACCGTCTGTACATAGAGCCGTATGGCCACGATATTGAGACTGATTTCGTTGAATTAGTTGATTTTACGCTGTAGAGGTTTAGATCTTACCATAAAACATGATCTTCTAGATTTCTCTCCAGTCCTTGCCTGGCAAATACCGTAGGTGTTTTTGGAAAAATCAAGCAGCAGAAGTAGGTTATATAAAGAAATGGTCATTTTCAAAAGGTAAATCAAAACCTTAACAATTATGTTTGGAAACATTATCCTCTTGCAAATCTAGAACTATCACAAAAATTGGAACAACGCCACGTTTGGTTAGCCTGCATTTTCTCAACTAGACGAAAAAACCGCTAGAAAGCGATATGTGTTCAGCCACATTTCCATCACCGAAGGAAGGGGATTTACATTAAAGTTCCTTTTAATGTTATACATACATTTTGATAAATTTATAAATTTTATTTACATGTTATATTCCACTTAAAAAATCTAATTTACGTGTTATATTCTGCTTGTTACAAATCCTCGTTTTTATTATTATTATTATTATTATTATTATTATTATTATTATTATTATTATTATTATTATTATTATTATTATTTAAAGAGGGTAACTCAATTAGCTAAGAACTAATCTACCTTGAGGCCCTCATTCAATGTTGATACCCTACATGGACTGTCCTTGATCTTGCAAACATTTATTACTGCTGGACACTCCGGTTTGGTTGCCAAGCTAATGCATTTTTTATGTATACATTTATCGTTTCTAGTGACAAATGACAAAGCGTTGACAAAGTAAGAAGTAAACTGCACTATGAAAGGTTAGTATAGATAATAGCCTAGCATGAAAATTTAGCCTCGTGTTATTTTGTATTAATGACATGTGCAGGGTATTTATTTAATTCTCGATCGTCTTATTACATTGATGGCATATATTTGTGGACATGATTACAGGCTCGATTTAACTACCATAATCTGGCAGTCGGAGGATTATTTTCTTGAATGCTATACGCAAGCGATACATCGGACATCGGAATCACTTTTCAGATTTTGTAGTTACTGTTGTTGTAATCGAAGGCTCTAACGGCAAGAATTAGTTCATTTAGTTCACATCATGTACAGTCATGAACCATAAAGGGCGTAATCGTGCCTGCCCCCTACTCACCTCTGACAAACGTAGGCCATGGTAAGTTATTTTTCAACTTCCAGTCACTACATTGGGTTTTTGCATTTAATTTAGTTTGTATACACAGTCGTGAAACCTAATGGATGCATCAGGACAGAATTTTTAGTACAAGTAATAAGATGGAAATTTTCTCAATTGTATTACAAGTAATTTTTCATTATATTATATTGAAAGCAGTTTTCCACTAAAATATATTAAGAGTAATATTGTTTATTTTTAGTATCAATTATATAATATTTTAACAAAAATTACGCTTTACAATCATTTGCAAATTTCCCCTTCCCTCCACCCCTTCAGTATTATACATTTTTCCTGTATGCCAAGTCAGCAAACTTTGCAACCGTAAAGATGTGTCAGTAAGTATCGACCAAGTTCCTAAATTTCCTTTTGGGCGAATAAGCTACAAGACTCATCGAAATAAATAAGCTGATGAGGCAAATCGTCTCTCTAGTGACGTAAGGTAACATACTCAGTTTCAGTAGAAATAGATGGGATCCTCGTACTGATTCGAGACGAACAAACACAAGCCTAAGGCTATTTCTATATTTGGTCATGGTATCCGTTTAAAAGTATCTAAATTGAGAAGCAGGATTTCGCAAATTAGGTCGTTCTAGCAGAATCATAAGGATTATATCTGTCTTTTCTTACAGGTAAGAATAATCTTTGTTCACAAATTTCTTTTAATGAATAAGTACTTTTCTAATGTTAGAGTGTGATGTGACGAATTTTGAAGACTTAGTGAAACTTAAGGCTGAATAAATTGTGCTTTGAAGTTATCATAGTCAAGCTAGAAAGGTCTTGAGAAAGTTTACTGATTATTCTCTTATTTTAACTGTGATACATACAATGATAAACGTTTAAACTTCAATAGCATTGACCGCATTGTTTAACGGCACATTGACATACGGTACATTAAAATTCCGACCGTATCGGTTTATAGGTGGAAGTACGTCAAATAATTGATTTTCAAAGGAAAGCTAATTGCAATAGGTTCTTAGGCTGTCAAAATCTGATGAAAGACATGATTATTTGGAGATAATTTTATGAACGGTTATTTCCGATTGGTCAGGGAAATTAAGGGAGCACATCTCGGGATACTGTGAATTTAGGGGTACCACATGCTCAGAATTCCTTAGTTCGACTCTTGTCTTGGGAGAAGTCAAAAGGTCCAACTCCTTGGGGAACTGGAGAATAGTGTTTTTCATTGTAGAAAAGGGTCAGACAGCTGTCTTAAAAAGGAAGACACGCCATAGGCTAGGTCAAGGTTGTGTGGAAAGAAACGGCATTAAGGTAAGCAATTTTAGTTTCCATTTAATATTCTGTTTCATTTGTTTGGTTCTTAGCAAATGTGTTCATACCCTTGTAATTCATGCTTGTATCGTGTATTCATTTCGTAGGGCTTTATTGACATGTTAGTGCTATGCAATTTAATTCTTAATTTAATATTAGCTCATTGCAACAATTGATGGATTGCATGTAATTATATATTCTATATGCAGTTTCCTATGCATTTAGGCATTAACCCTAATATACAAATGTGTCATATTGGATGGTATTGTTATCATGAGCTAACGACAAACATATATTTATATATGATTTCGCAACGCTTAACTGATCTTGCAGGTTATAGGCTATGTAGCTACACTTAGTGGATATTATGCTATGCGTAATTAAGCATTTATCTTATTGAACAGAATTGATTAGCCAAATATTAATAAGACGTGTAGTATTGTATGCTGGTATATACGGCCGCATTTGTCTGAGAAAGCACGTGGTAATTCTAATCAATTGCTCGCGCTCAGTGCTATGAACTTGGAGCTAAGGTCACTTGTATTAATGTAACGGTACCTTATCGAAACACGGAATCTGTAAAGAGTTATTTGTTAAGGTTACATTACGTCAGAATTTGCGCAGTGTGAATCGCCAATCTGAATATGAACTAACAGTTATATATCTCTAAGGAAATGTTGAAACATTACAAGCTCTCGTAATACTCTCCTATTAAATAGGAAACAACTTTATACTGTGTGTGTGTGAGAGAGAGAGAGAGAGAGAGAGAGAGAGAGAGAGAGAGAGAGAGAGAGAGAGAGAGAGAGAGAGAGAGAGAGAGAGAGAGAGAGAGACTGAAAACCCGATGAGTCAAGGGTGAATCCACATCTCAGAGAGGTCGGAATAAACAGGGGTCGGAAAGAGGACCATAGCACACACACACATTTGACTTGGAATCAAGACGAGAAGAAACAGACGCCAGATAATGCTGTCAAGCGTAGAATTTAACTCAGAATTCACTACTCTTAGTATGATTTAAATTGAACACTGCGACTAAATTCTATCAATGTGAATCCGTTCAATTTAAAGTGAAATTTTGGTCACGTATTAATTGAGAGTGAGATATTTGGTTATGAATTATTTGATTACAGTTTGGTAAATATGTCGTATTATTTAAAGTGAAATTTTGGCATGACTGTCCCTGAGTTATGTAGTACGTTATAAAATCTAGTGGTATACATCAATGTTGTGACTGCAGCGGCAGTATTTATGGTATGAAACCGGTAAATTACACAATGAAATGAATGAGTAGAGACGCGGCAGATACCGTTTAAGTCGCTATGGTGGTAAATGTGATGTAGTTTTACTGGTGTGATGTGCCTTGAAACAATAGATGCAATGGCCTCAGGTGGCGTAGTTAAAATAGTCCCCTCTGTTAGGGATAGCTGTAGAGCTTCTACGGTGTGGACTACTGACGGAACGGAAAGTTGATGTAGAGAAATTATGTGGATGTGCGGTTGATGGATATTTTGCAAATTGTAAATAATGTGGTCTTTTATTTATTAGAGTAAAATTTTTGTATATAATGGACACGTTGGGCTTTCCAACTTACAACTTTAGTTGTATAGAAGTCTTTGTAAATTTGGGGTAAACTTATGACTTTTAGCGGGATTCGCGCCAGGTTTTTGACACCGCTCGGTCAAGCAAAGACCCTTGGCTTGTAACAATATGATTCTAGGCTTTCATAAGAGAATTGCTTGCTTAGAACGTAAATGATTCTAGGCTTTCGAAAGTGTTGTTTAGGTAGCCGGGTTTGATGAACAAACGACGTAAATGATTGGTTGTAGCGAATGTCTTTTCTGTGTAATACTGTTTATATAGTGTAAATACGATTTTCAGATGATGAAATAACCACGCTTTATCCGTGTGCGTGCAGC